AGGCAGGTTTTGATCCACCATCAACTGAAATCCTTAAAGACAACATTCACGCACTGAGATCGGTCCAGATGGCAGAACAATATTCAAATTATTCCACTTTTTATTGTCAGGGGGAAGTGGAGACAGGGTTGAAGGATACAACATGAATAGAGGCTCTGCTCAAATATTGTACCCCTGAGGAAGACCAGAGTGGAAAATCAATTCCACAGTAACACCGGATCCACATTTAACTAAGACAGACCACTATAAGCAGAATCTTGCAAGTCTGATAGTGCTCATCCTTCCCTCCCTTTTACATCAGAGAAAAGCTACCCTGAATCCCTTCTTAATATAGGTAGTCCTCAACTTAACAACTATTCATTCATTGGCCATTCAAAGTTACAATAAAACTGAAAAAAAGGGGGGGCTTACAACTAACTTAACTTGCCTTCAAAAGTTGTGGGTGCTCCATCACTAGAACCTTTTAAGAAGAGATTGGACAGTCATTTCTCTGAAATGCTATAGGTTCTCCTTGCTTGAACAGGGGGTTGGACTAGAAGATCTCTAAGCTCCCTTCCAACTCAGATGTTCTATGTTTTTAAGACTATCACAGGTTTGGAAATGTTTCAGCTCCTGGAATTCTTATAACCTAATACCTTTCTTCAACCAAAACTTAAACCTTGCTTAAAAAAATAATGCACTGTCTGACTCTGTTGTTACATCCTCAAACTCAGAGGTGGAATTCAACCAGTTCTGACCAGTTCTGGAGAACTGGTAGTGGAAATTTTGAGTAGTTCGGACAACTGGAAAATCCCACCTCTGACTGAAGATGTTACAGTATCCTTCCTCTGCCACACCCACCAAGCTATGCCCACAGAACTGGTAGTAAAAAAAATTGAATCCCACCACTGGTGCCCATTGTCCCTGTCCTATTGTCCCCATTTATTTGTACCTATTTCCTGTATTCTTATTCATGTTTATACTTATACCTATTATCTTGTAAGCAACTGACAAATCAAGTTTAAAAAAAAGAGACTCTTTGGGAAATTATTTTTTTGCCATTTTAAATAGTGGTCAAAAACCTCCTGAAAAATAGTCTTCAGGACAGGAACAGGCCACCTGTCAACTTTCAGTGGTCAATGAATCACCCTTCGTAAGAAGATTCTGCATTGATTTGGAACTGAGCCTCAAAGGTATTTTGGAAAGCCACCAACATAGCTTCTGTCCCCAACTTCTTAAAGTAGTTTGTGTCTTTTCCCAGGATTGTGAGGTGGGCACCAAACCATTGGCTGCAAAAGGCCTGGTGTTCTGACCCACACCCTTTTCCAACAAATCAAAGACAATCCAAAAGGAACAGAAACCTTGTAATGCTTTTACAAAATAATTAGCTGTGATAAGCACAAGTCTTGCCGAGCTGTGCAAGACTTGCCAAAAGATAACAGACAAGAAATAATTTGCAAAATAAGAAGAATCTTCAAACACAAACTCAGGATACTGGAATGTCCATGAGGCTGGGGTTTCAAAACATCTTTGCCTTCTGCAAAGTACATTCATTTCACAGCTGGCTTTTATCTTCATGAAGGAGGGGCCATTACCTTGTAGCCTTACTCCCAAGTCGCCCGTGCTGTTGTAACTGCTCTTTCCTGTGAGCAATCCTGTGCGCACGTGCACTTGGCACAGGTTCCTCGGGAACCTCCTCATCACTGCTGCCAGCCCCCATAATCTCTGAAGGCAGCAGTCCACTCCCTAATGGTCCTGGCCCCTCATCTGAGTCCCCGCTCTCCTCAGTCATCCACACCTACTGCCAGCTAACCACAATACCTGGGGGTATTTTGACAAACTTTGTGAAGGCCAAATGAAGGACAATCAACAAAACTCTGGTGGAGCTGCAATTCATAACCTGCCAGGGAAGACTGAAAAAACCATCTCGTGCGAGTTGATAGACAGATCTCTGAAGCAGTCTTGCAATTTTTTACTATCTTGACATCCGGCATAAAAATTAGCAATTGACACTACTTAATTTATTAGCCTTCATTTATAGAAGGAAAGGAAATCTCTGCCAAATTTGTATTACGAATAGATAGGTGTCATCACAATGACTTTACATTGTACAGAATACGGAACAGAGTTGGGAAGGATTTCGAGTCCCAAGTCCCTGCTCAAACAGGAGATCCGATTCCATCTTGTCCAATATCTTCTTAAAAACCTCCAATAATGGAGCATCCAGAACTTCTGGAGGCAAATCCTCCCATTGGTTAATTGTTCTCACTGACAGGAAATTTCTTCTTAGTTTTAGACTGGATCTCTCTTTGATCATCTTCCATCTGTTACTTGTCCTGCGCTCAGATGCTTTGGAGAATGGGTGGATCCTCTCTTCTTTGTAACAGCCCATCAAACATTGGAAGATGCTATCTTATCACTCTTAGTTCTTCTCTTCTCTTCTCTTCTCTTCTCTTCTCTTCTCTTCTCTTCTC